TCCTCATGAGTTTTAGGTTTAAAAAAAAAGGAGTGGGGGGGATAGACAACCACAAAGAAGACATTTTAGAAAGGAAACAGAGAGAGGAACTAGGCCTTCTAACCTCCGTGGCCCAGTGCCCAGCCTGGCGCATTTGCAAGGTAGTAAAGGAAGGGAAAACGGCTCCGAGGCCCGGCTGCCAAGAGGCGCTCTGGTTTTCTGGTTGCAGAAGTCCAGAGCCTCGCTGGCAGGCCCAGCGGCTGACTGGGTGCAGAAGTGAGCAACCTGACTTCCACTGCAGCCTTCACATACACCACCAGCTAGAATGCTTAGCTCTGGAAGCAGTTGGGTTTTACTTCATTTTTTGAACCTAACCAACTCCTTATTCACAAGGATGTAGAGACTGGCCAGGTCCGTATTAGGAAGGCCTGTGTCTGAGGCTTTGCCTCTTTTTCCTTCCACTTGAGGTTCTTTATTCTCTTGATTTTCACTGAAAAGTGAAGGATTTGAGGCTTCCTGGGGAGTCTAGGTTTTGGCAAATGTATTTTTTCACTTGGAATAGTGAGCCTTTCAGAAAGATACCCTAGAAAGAATACCTAGATACCAAGAAAGAATAAATACCAGTGATCCCTCCCAAATATCATAATGGGGACCAGACCCACATCCAAGCTTCTGGGTTTTATAAGGAGTGTCCTTGGGGCTTTAGGGTCCAGCTCACCTGATAGAAGCTTGAAAGGCATCAAATCATAATCTAAAACAATGGTGAACCCAACAGAGGTAGGAACCTAGGTATTTATGAACCCAGGTCACCTCTGAGTGACTATCTAAAGACAGTTAACTTGAGTCCATGGAATTTCCCCCAAGGGAGCCTGTGATTTCCTGAAATTATCTGCAGTAGTCTCTGTGTGAAACTATTTCTTTAGGCATCTGTAGCCTTCATCAGATTTTCTGAGGTTATGATGTCTAAAAGGTTAATATTCTGGCTTGTGAGCTTCTTGGGCACAAGGACAGTGTCTCACTGTGATGCAATGCAAGCGTGCAATACAGGGACCCTGTACAATATATAGTGAGTGATGGTCAAATGGATGGGTGAGCAGAGTCACTTGAGGCCCTTCCTTCTCAACACTAAATTGTTTTAAAATTGCTTAAGCTTTAAGACTTTTGGTATCAGTGTGGACTGCTTTTATTTCTATTGTTATTTATGAGAACTGCTTAAACTTGAAGATTGCTAGCATCAGAACAGAACTCCACATTTTTCTTTTATACATGAGACCTCTTGTTAGGAAGATAGCAGAGCTACTGTTTCCTGACTCTCAGCACCCCAGATCAAATGATTGTTTTTTTCCTACCTTCCCACCAACTCTGCATACTCTGGTGGGGGTGGAGATCATATGTGGTATCTAGAAGATTACCACGGAATTTCCCTTTGCATCACCAAGGCCAATCTTGGAAGACCCAAATTCTGAGGAAATAATGGCTCTAATCAATTGAATTTTCTTACTAAAGCAACCTTTGTTATACTTTAGGTTAAAAGTCTGTTTTTGTTTTTAAGGATTTATTTATTTTAGAGAGACAGTGTGTGTGCACGCAGATGGGGGCGGGGGCAGTGAGAGAGGGAGAGAGAATCCCAAGCAGACTCTGTGCTGAGCACAAGTCCAATGCGAGACTCGATCCCATGACCCTGAGATCACGACCTGAGCTAAAACCAAAAGTTAGTTGCCCAACCAACTGCACCAGGCAGGTGCCCCAAAAGTATGTTTTAACACTCTCAGGTCCCCTCTATACACTGAGTATTGGGGACATTATTTAACATATTGGATGTCTGTGGGTGTACAGATTATGAGAATATGCAGTCTATATGGTGGTATAGTAAATGTAGAAAATGTACTTGTTTTTACCAATTGTGTACTGTCATCTGGCCAAACCTGTAACTTTTTGTTTGGCTTCTGAGCCTGGGATGGAGAAGTGGGAAGAGGGAGAGAGGTGGGAGGGAGGAAAGACTGCATGCGTGTGTTTTCTCTGTAGGGGAAGGTGGTGCCATCCAGTTATTTGAGGGCTTCTGACGTTTGGGCACATCCGGGATGGCTCTGGTTAGGCTGCAATCAGGTCGTGTCCTCTCATACACCTACATGCTCCAGTGCACGTAGTGAAAGGGAAGGTCTTCATAGAACTGTGCTCAGCACACTTGAGTGACTGCCCTTCCCATGACTTTGAGCTCTCCATCAGATGCTGTGGTTAGAATAGTCTGATAGGACTGGAAAACAAGGGGGATGCCAAGGCAAGTGTTGAAGGAACTCTGCCTTTAGCCAACTCTCCTTTTCCTCATTGAGCAGAACTCCTCCATGAGCTGTATATTTATGGCTCTTTACAAAACATGCAAAGTTTGAGTGAAAACCTTTGGAAACTAGTAGGAGAGGGAGGAATGGGCTCGGGCACGGGAACTCTAGTGTCTTAGAGCCGCTGTGGGGCCCTCCAGTAGCCTGTGCGGGAAGGAGGCTTCCATTCTCAACCTCTCTGTTGAGACACATGCACAGATAAACCCCACCAGAATTTCTAGATCCTCAAGATTCCCTTTAGGGATATTCTCCTCTTTGCCTCCTGGGAGTTTCTTGCCCATCAGAATTTTATATACCAAACCTTCCCCCTGCCCCGATAGAATTTGGGTACACTATAGATGAGAAGATGCAGGTAGATAAAAGTAATTACTTAAACACATATGGGGCAAGACTTACAGGTTTGGAGGCCCAGATTAAGATGCAGAGGAGCATGTGAGGTTGATGATTATATTTCGGGAAGAGTTAATTGATGGAAGGTGAAGGCAGACAAAGAACCTCTGCTTACTGCCTTCTTGAATCCCAATCAGGAATTATGATTAAAGTCGCGGCGAGACAACAGAGGGCTGATGAATTGGTGTCTTTTTTTTTTTTCTTTTTTGCCGTCATTCACACTTGATTGACTTCAACCTTTCAAGTGCAAAAGTCTCTCTTTTCCATTATTATTCATAGCCATCTGAGTTTTTCTAATTAAAGTGTATGAAAACAATTACTGATCCGTCGTACTGAGTCTGTTAGAGGGGATGTCTGCCTTACTGTAATGCGTATAAAAAGCCCACAGTTTTCTATAATGATGTGCAGCTGAGGTGTTAGATAATTTTATTCTTTTTTACTCTGTAGGGCTTTTTTTTTTTATTTTTCATGATTCATTTTTCATAATTCCTAAAGATCCCTGGAAAGGACTGATCCTGCAGCTACAACCGAGAAAGGAGGTGGGGGGGAGTCTTTTTTCCTTTCCCTTTCTCCCTCTCTTGCCCCCAACCTCGTGCTCCCCCTTGGCTGAGGACTATAAATTAATCGGTGACCTTTCACTTCTTGGATTCCCGCTGGACTCCCCAACCATACTGGTCAGAAATGCTTTCTATTAAAAAGAAAATAGATGGAATGAGTTTGGCAATCTCTGCTCCATTCCTAACGATTCATCAACAGCTAGCCTTAACCAGCTGCCGACAAGCTTTGTGTGAGGGTGCAGATGTCTGTAAGTAGGAATTCTGTGTCACGCACATTCACCTGCCATGCACCTGCTCTTCATAAACACGAGCTTTCTCAGAACCCTTCTCCATAGTGCCTGTTGCTTAATTTTTACCCCTATAAGCGTCGCAGTTGCTGATATTATTCTAATACCTCTAAATGTATTGAGGAGTTAACATTTTGGTGTTTATGGGGAAGGTTGTCTGGGTTTCCCCTAGCACTGGAGCCTGCCACCGAGGTTTCTAGGGAACGTGTCATCAGCTATTAGGAGCAAGTCCAGGATCTTCAAACCATTAAAAATTAATAGTTTATTTAAAATATTTAATTTTGAACAGTAAACTAGGTGTTCCAATCTTTGCACCAGCAAGTACAGGTCTCATTGAGATACCTGAGTTTCATGGGAAAATAATTCCTTTAGGTAGGGCTGGAAGCCATGTAGAAAGGTTAGTGGTGTGACTGTAGTTTCTGTTCAGTTCGTTTCTCAGGCTGTCATCAAACAGAGACCATTTCTAATTCATTTTGCAAGATCATCGCCTACTACTTTTCCACCCTATAGCAGGCAAAGGGATATTACTTCTTTTTAAATGAAGAACCTTTTATCCTTACGTTGAATTTGAGGGCTGCTTATCATGTTAATGTGGGGCAAATGATAACTTCTTCAGACAAACTTCTAGCCAGACGTCAGAGAAGCCTAGAGAAAAATGTCTGAGGATCTGACCTGATCCAGGCTGATTCTGGAATTGCTATATTAGCAAACAATAGCCATGGTCAAGGTGGGGCTGCCCTGGTGTAGAATGCTGTGTAGGGCACCCACCCTCTGATGCTGGGCACCTCAAGCAAAGACTCTAGAAGAAATCCTGGCTGAAGTGAGTCGTAAGAAATGCTCGTTTGCACTTGATCTAGCTTCTAAAGGGTTACAAAATGTTGTTTCCTGGAGAATCTGCCAATGTGTCTGCGTGTCCTTAGCCTTCTCTTTGTTCTCTTTTTTTCTTCTTACCCTTTCCTTCACTCTTATTCCCCTCCTCTTCTTGCCTGAATACATTTTGAAAACAGTACTACAATGCTCCCTGCTTCAAGATTACAGTGTACTTTACTAGGTATGATTTAATTAGGGCCCTTATTATGTTTTCAGCAGCTTAAGGTGGGCCTTTCAACTTATCTACCTAATTGGTTGCACAAGAAGTTTCACAGCCCATGACAAAACATTGTCAGTGATCAAAGTCAAAATTCTGCATAAAGGAAAAATATTAATAATAAGATTATTCTTCAAGTGTGCACTGCTAATTATGTCCAGAATGTAACCGTAGAAACACTTTTGACTGATGTGAGCTTTGTCTAATAAACATGAATCTTCAGTGAGCTATGAAAAGTGACACTTCCCGCTTTACACTGGTGAAGGCTAATTTTGCTTATTAAATAATTTTTACACTTCTCCCTATTTTGGGTCTCTTTCCTCTCCATTTGACTCTCCTCATTTCTCTGCCTCTTCCTCCGCAGGTGACCACCCCTGAGATGGTGATGCCCAGCAGCATGTTCCTCCCAGCAGCTGTTCCAGATCGAGACGGGAACTCCACTTTGGAGGAGGCAGGAAAGCAGCCTGGTTAGTGTCATTCTTGACCCCTAGAAATGGAAACAAAATGAAATATTGGGCCACAATTTTCACTGAGCAGGAGTGCCAGGAATCCTTACAAAGTCCTCCTAAGGTGAATGTAACTGATCAAGAGAGGAGGTGGCACTTTGGTCACCTACTTCATACTCTGGCATGTATTTGTATACCATTCATATGGTTTAAAGTGGAAAGAAAATAAGGTGAGAACCAGTGGGATTCTGGTGGACACATGTCCCCTTAGACTATACATTTAGGGAGTGAATAACCAGAGACTCAGTCAGTAGACCCATGACTCCCCAGTCTCTCAGGACTTAATTATTAGGGACTTTTGGAGCATGTGAGGGATTTCAGAGCACTGGATTAGCTCTCTCTCTAACTTTCCTCTGCACAAAGTTGTTCTTTGAGTCTTCTGGGATTGCCTTAGGACCTTGAATAGAGGTGTACTTAGCACTGGGTGTTATATACAAACAATGAATCATGGAACACTACATCAAAAACTAATGATGTACTGTATGGTGACTAAGATAACATAATTTTTAAAAAAGGTGCATTTAGAAAGAACATGTTTTAGACACGTGCTGGTGCCCTATGGTGGTTCCTAGCTAGGTGGGTCATTAGACCTCCACTTAGGAGGCTGTCCTACATCATTCACCTTTTGTCAGCACCTAAGATTTAAGTTGGGAAGACCTCAGCCCCACTACTGCCCCACCTCCCCCCCCTTGTGATTTTTCCATATTAGAAGGTAGACAGCTGACTTTAAAAGGGTCAGAATATGTATGGGTGTGATGCTATCACTAGAAAATAATTTTTATGTATTTTAATGGCCACTTGAATGTTCATTTCTTAATAGAGAGGACAGTCAAAAGTAATGTTATAACAAATTAAGCTAAAAGACATATTCCAAAGTTTCTTATATTGTCAGAATTTTTTATATTACAATGGACAATAGTTATCTTAAATTCCCCACAATTTAGGATATCGTTTATTCACCTCTTTTACAGTTCAGGTTCACGTAAAAGGGAAGTCCAGTCTAAGATCAGTAACATTCAAACCAGTTCTTGAGAAATTTAAGATTCTGAGTCAAGCAACTGATCCAAGATACGATACAGTCCTATTATGAATGAAACTCTTGTATTTCCTTTTAGTCCCCTCTGTTCATGTGCACTTGCTTTAATATGTACTCTTTGCAGGGGCTGTGTGGAGAGAGTCTGTCTTCATGAGGACTTGCTAGGTAGATAGCCATGGGTGCCATCCTTGAAACAAAGCCTTCTTTATCATTGGGCTTGGTTTTTTTTTGTTTTGTTTTTTTTGTTTCTTTTTTAAATTACAGAAACCTCAGAGGATCTGGGAAAGAACATCTTGCCCTCTGTAAGCACAGAGCACAGTGGAGATTTGAAACCCTCTTCTGCTGACCCAGGCTCTGTGAGAGAAGATTCAGGCTTCCTATGCTGGAAGAAGGGGTGCAATCAGGTTTTCAAAACCTCTGCCACTCTTCAAACACACTTCAGTGAGGTTCATGCCAAGAGGCCCCAGCTGCCTGTGTCAGATCGCCATGTGTACAAGTATCGCTGTAATCAGTGCAGCCTGGCTTTCAAGACCATTGAAAAGCTGCAGCTCCATTCTCAGTACCATGTGATCAGAGCTGCCACAATGTGCTGTCTTTGTCAGCGTAGTTTCCGAACTTTTCAGGCTCTGAAAAAACACCTTGAGACAAGCCATCTGGAGTTGAGTGAGGCTGACATCCAACAGCTGTATGGTGGCCTTCTGGCCAATGGGGACCTCCTGGCAATGGGGGACCCTGCCCTGGCAGAGGACCACACCATAATTGTGGAGGAAGACAAGGAGGAAGAGAGTGACTTAGAAGACAAACAGAGCCCAACGGGCAGTGACTCTGGGTCAGTACAAGAAGACTCAGGCTCAGAGCCAAAGAGAGCTCTACCTTTCAGAAAAGGCCCCAACTTCACCATGGAAAAATTTCTAGACCCTTCTCGCCCTTACAAGTGTACAGTCTGCAAGGAGTCTTTCACTCAAAAGAATATCCTGCTAGTGCACTACAATTCTGTCTCCCACCTGCATAAGTTGAAGAGAGCCCTTCAAGAATCGGCAACTGGTCAGCCAGAACCCACCAGCAGCCCAGACAACAAACCTTTCAAGTGTAACACTTGTAACGTGGCCTACAGCCAGAGTTCCACTTTGGAGATCCACATGCGGTCTGTGTTGCATCAAACCAAGGCCCGAGCAGCCAAGCTGGAGGCTGCAGGCGGCAGTAGCAATGGGACGGGGAACAGCAGCAGCGTCTCCCTGAGCTCCTCCACCCCAAGTCCTGTGAGCAGCAGTGGTAGTAACACCTTTACCACCAGCAACCCAAGCAGTGCTGGCATCACTCCGAGTTCCAGCCTACTGAGCCAAGTGCCCCCTGAAAGTGCAGGGATGCCGGCCCTGGGGAATCCCATCGGTGCCAACATCACTTCCCCTTCAGAGCCCAAGGAGGCCAATCGGAAGAAGCTGGCAGACATGATTGCATCCAGACAGCAGCAGCAGCAAGCACAGACGCTAGCCCAGGCCCAGGCTCAAGTTCAAGCTCACCTGCAGCAGGAGCTGCAGCAGCAGGCGGCCCTGATCCAGTCTCAGCTGTTCAACCCCGCCCTGCTTCCTCACTTCCCCATGACCACAGAGACCCTGCTGCAGCTGCAGCAGCAGCAGCATCTCCTCTTCCCCTTCTACATCCCCAGCGCAGACTTCCAGCTCAGCCCTGACGTGAGCTTGCCAGTGACCAGCGGGGCGCTGACACTGACGGGGACGGGCCCGGGCCTTCTAGACGATCTGAAGGCTCAGGTTCAGATCCCAACACAGAGCCACCAGCAGATCCTGCAGCAGCAACAGCAAAGCCAGCTCTCCCTGTCCCAGACTCACTCTGCCCTTCTACAGCCCAGCCAGCACTCTGAAAAGAAAAACAAATTGGTCATCAAAGAAAAGGAAAAAGAAAGCCAGAGAGAGAGGGACAGTGCCGAGGTGGGAGAGGGCAACCCAGGACCTAAGGAATCGCTGCCAGATGCCTTGAAGGCTAAAGAGAAGAAAGAATTGGCACCAGCAGCTAGTTCGGAGCCTTCCATGCTCCCACCACGAATCGCCTCAGATGCCAGAGGGAATGCCACCAAGGCCCTGCTGGAGAACTTTGGCTTTGAGCTGGTCATTCAGTACAACGAGAACAAGCAGAAGGTGCAGAAGAAGAATGGGAAGACTGAGCAGGGAGAGAATCTGGAAAAGCTTGAGTGTGACTCCTGTGGCAAGTTGTTTTCTAACATCTTGATTTTAAAGAGTCATCAGGAGCACGTTCATCAAAACTACTTTCCCTTTAAACAGCTAGAGAGATTTGCTAAACAGTACCGCGAGCAGTACGATAAACTGTACCCCCTGAGGCCCCAGACCCCAGAGCCACCGCCACCACCTCCCCCGCCACCTCCTCCACCCCCTCTTCCTGCAGCACCGCCTCAGCCAGCTTCCACGCCAGCCATCCCTGCATCAGCCCCACCCATCACTTCACCCACGATTGCACCCACCCAGCCATCCGTGCCACTCACCCAGCTCTCTATGCCCATGGAGCTGCCCATCTTCTCACCACTGATGATGCAGACGATGCCACTGCAGACCTTGCCGGCTCAGCTGCCCCCTCAGCTTGGACCTGTGGAGCCTCTGCCTGCGGACCTGGCCCAGCTGTACCAGCACCAGCTCAATCCAAGCCTGCTCCAACAGCAGAACAAGAGGCCTCGCACCAGGATCACGGATGACCAGCTCCGGGTCCTGCGGCAATATTTTGACATTAACAACTCCCCCAGTGAAGAGCAGATCAAAGAAATGGCAGACAAGTCTGGGTTGCCCCAGAAAGTGATCAAGCACTGGTTCAGAAACACCCTCTTCAAAGAGCGGCAGCGTAACAAGGATTCCCCTTACAACTTTAGCAATCCTCCCATCACCAGCCTGGAGGAGCTCAAGATAGACTCGCGGCCCCCTTCGCCAGAACCTCAGAAGCAGGAGTACTGGGGAAGCAAGAGGTCTTCAAGAACAAGGTTTACTGACTATCAGCTGAGGGTCCTACAGGACTTCTTTGATGCCAATGCTTACCCCAAGGATGACGAATTTGAGCAACTCTCTAATTTACTAAACCTTCCAACCCGAGTCATAGTGGTATGGTTTCAAAATGCCCGACAGAAGGCCCGGAAAAATTATGAGAATCAGGGGGAGGGCAAAGATGGAGAGCGGCGTGAGCTTACAAATGATAGGTATATTCGAACAAGCAACCTGAACTACCAGTGCAAAAAATGTAGCCTGGTGTTTCAGCGCATCTTTGATCTCATCAAGCATCAGAAGAAGCTGTGTTACAAAGATGAGGATGAGGAGGGGCAGGATGACAGCCAGAATGAGGATTCCATGGATGCCATGGAAATCCTGACACCCACCAGCTCCTCCTGCAGCACCCCAATGCCCTCACAGGCTTACAGTGCCCCAGCACCATCCGCCAACACGGCTTCCTCCGCTTTCTTACAGCTCACGGCGGAGCCTGATGAACTGGCTACTTTTAGTTCAAAAACAGAGGCAAGTGATGAGAAACCAAAGCAGGCTGAACCTCCCAGTGCACAGCCAAACCAAACACAAGAAAAGCAAGGGCAACCAAAGGCAGAGCTGCAGCAACAAGACCAGCCCGAGCAGAAGACAAACGCAGCGCAGCAAAAGCTCCCACAGCTCACTTCCCCCACTTCGTTACCACAGCCTCCTCCACAAGCACCCCCACCTCAGTGCCCCTTACCCCAGTCGAGCCCCAGTCCTTCTCAGCTCTCCCACCTGCCCCTCAAGCCCCTCCACACGTCGACTCCTCAGCAGTTGGCAAACCTACCTCCTCAGCTAATCCCCTACCAGTGTGATCAGTGTAAGTTGGCGTTTCCATCATTTGAGCACTGGCAGGAGCATCAACAGCTTCATTTCCTGAGTGCACAGAACCAGTTCATCCACCCCCAGTTTTTGGACAGGTCACTGGATATGCCTTTCATGCTGTTTGACCCTAGTAACCCACTCCTGGCGAGCCAGCTGCTCTCTGGGGCTATACCTCAGATTCCAGCCAGCTCGGCCACTTCTCCTTCAACTCCAACCTCCACAATGAACACTCTGAAGAGGAAGCTGGAGGAAAAGGCCAGTGCAAGCCCTGGAGAAAATGACAGTGGGACAGGAGGAGAAGAACCTCAGCGAGACAAGCGTTTGAGGACAACCATTACACCAGAACAGCTAGAAATTCTGTACCAGAAGTATCTGTTAGACTCCAATCCAACTCGAAAGATGTTGGATCACATCGCACACGAGGTGGGCTTGAAGAAGCGTGTGGTCCAAGTCTGGTTTCAGAATACCCGAGCCCGGGAACGGAAAGGACAGTTCCGGGCTGTGGGCCCAGCGCAGGCGCACAGAAGATGCCCTTTTTGCAGAGCACTCTTCAAAGCCAAGACTGCCCTCGAGGCTCATATCCGGTCCCGTCATTGGCATGAGGCCAAGAGAGCTGGCTACAACCTAACTCTGTCTGCAATGCTCTTGGACTGCGATGGGGGACTCCAGATGAAAGGAGATATTTTTGATGGAGCCAGCTTTTCCCACCTACCCCCAAGCAGCAGTGACGGCCAAGGTGTCCCCCTCTCACCTGTGAGTAAAACCATGGACTTGTCTCCCCGAACTCTTCTTAGCCCTTCTTCCATCAAGGTGGAGGGAATTGAGGATTTTGAAAGTCCCTCCATGTCCTCAGTTAATCTGAACTTTGACCAAACTAAGCTGGACAACGACGACTGTTCCTCTGTCAACACAGCAATCACGGATACCACCACCGGAGACGAGGGCAATGCGGATAATGACAGTGCGACGGGAATAGCAACTGAAACCAAATCCTCTTCTGCACCCAATGAAGGGTTGACCAAAGCGGCCATGATGGCAATGTCTGAGTATGAAGATCGGTTGTCGTCTGGTCTGGTCAGCCCAGCCCCAAGCTTTTACAGCAAGGAATACGACAATGAAGGTACAGTGGACTACAGTGAAACCTCGAGCCTTGCAGACCCCTGCTCCCCGAGTCCTGGGGCAAGCGGGTCAGCAGGCAAATCTGGAGACAGTGGGGATCGGCCAGGGCAGAAACGTTTTCGCACTCAGATGACCAATCTGCAGCTGAAAGTCCTCAAGTCATGCTTTAATGACTACAGGACGCCCACCATGCTAGAGTGTGAGGTCCTGGGCAATGATATTGGACTGCCAAAGAGAGTTGTTCAGGTCTGGTTCCAGAATGCCCGGGCAAAAGAAAAGAAGTCCAAGTTAAGCATGGCCAAGCATTTTGGTATAAACCAAACAAGTTACGAGGGGCCGAAAACAGAGTGCACTTTGTGTGGCATCAAGTACAGCGCTCGGCTGTCTGTACGTGACCATATCTTTTCCCAGCAGCATATCTCCAAAGTTAAGGACACCATTGGAAGCCAGTTGGACAAGGAGAAAGAATACTTTGACCCAGCCACTGTACGTCAGTTGATGGCTCAACAAGAGTTGGACCGGATTAAAAAGGCCAACGAGGTCCTCGGACTGGCAGCTCAGCAGCAGGGGATGTTTGACAATGCCCCTCTTCAGGCTCTTAACCTTCCTACAGCATATCCGGCGCTCCAGGGCATTCCTCCCGTGTTGCTCCCCGGCCTCAACAGCCCCTCCTTGCCGGGCTTTACTCCATCCAACACAGGTGGGTTCTGCTCTAGGTGATTCTTACAGCATTAAATAGCTGCCCAAATAGCATTTTGTTCTGTGGCTACCACCCAAACTCTTTGAATGTTGGGCAGATAGGCAGAAGCTTCCCTTTTACTGAGTCTCCCTAGTGCTGTGGTTCTCTGACTTCCCAGTCTCAGAGATGGGACCTCCTAGTTGGAACAGTCTGCTATGAAATTATTCTCTTTGCCCTATGTTCAGTAACACAACCAGGGTGCGTGCTACAAGGAAGAACTTGAGGGTCCTGGCATCCTAAATCCTGGGTTATTTTCAAGAAAAAGGTTTCTAGCATAGACCCTTCTAGTCAGTCTTTGTGAAATTGCCAATCCCCTCTAGATAGTTGTTGAAAATAGAAGACATTTGAATATCCTAGCTAATTCTGGATCGTGCTTTATGGAAACTGGTTCAAGACAACTTAAATCAAGTCCTTGTCCTTACCTGTGGTCCCTGCTTCTGTTTTTAGAGAGCTGTTCTGGCAGAACTGCTATCAGGAAGAAGCTCTCATAAATGGATCCTTATTCCGGGCTTCTTACCTCGCCAGAACAATAGTGGTTATACTCGTTTCATTATAATGACACTACTTCTGTACTTGAATGCACTGGCCAGGAATCTTGTATTGGGCAATATGGTTCTGAATCTTCAGACAGACAATGAACATTAATGCTCATTTTTAGGAGTCTTCATCACTCCTTCATTTCCCTTCACCCATCTCTCTTTCTTTGCTCCCCCCAGCCCCCTAATTCAGTCATATACTTGGTACTCTTATTTTTCTACTATTATTAATAGGGAGTTTGATAGTTCTTCCTGTGTCCCTCTCTTGTTCCTCCTCTGTCCTCACCTGTCTTCTCTGTAGCCAGCTTTCTTTCCTAAATTGGACCTCCAGGATTCTGTGAAACTTAGGCACAAGTCAGCAAGATTCCCGCCCCCTATCCCCCGGGCCTGCATTGACCAGTGTAACTTTACCAAAGGAGAGCCCTTCAGAGTGCTTCCTTGCCTGAAAATGGGTCCCTGTTCCCAGGGCTTGAAGTGGTAAAAGCATTAAAATCTGTAAGTCATTGCTTATCGTTGTTGGCAAGTAAGGTCACAGAATTATGCTAAAGCCAACTGGACATAAGCCAAGAATCAAGCTATGGAAAGTGTCTAGGCACTGAATTACCCTTGCAGCCCAGAATCTTGGCAGAAGGGCTTGGGATGGCCCAACATTTCATAATAATGTGAAAAAAATTAGAATGTCTGATCTATTCCCCTTGTTTTACAGATGAGAAAACTGAGGGCCAGAGAGGTCAAGACCATTCAGCAAGCTAGGGTAGGAGCCAGAGCTCCCACCCAGGCCTCCAGGCTCCCAGTGCTATGTGCTCCTTCCACAACACCCAATATGAGCCAGTCAGTCAACAGGTATATGTTTAGTGCTACTCAGGTTCTGACCACTAAGAGTGGACTCAAGATAGAAAGGTATGCTCTTAATTATTAGAGGCAGCCAGGGTTACCAGTGTGTCCCAGTTACCACCACCTGATTGCACCACAGCTCACAGGAGCACTGGATCTGGAATGGGGGAAGGAACTTGTATTTAATACGTCAGGTCCAATGGTAAGCTCTTTTCATATGACCTTCCATTTAGTCCCTACAACCATGTATTGTAGAAAGTTGAGGTTCCGTGGAGTCAATGGGGGTCTAAGGCTACATAGCAGCTGTGTATCAAACACAATCCATACTACATCAGTCTGACTCCAGAGGTGCATGACAAGTATCAGGGCGATGAAATGCCTTGCTTGGTTCTAATCTTGCTGATGAGAAAACTGAGGCCACAATTATTTTGAGAATATACTGAGCTGCTATACCAAACATGGTTAGTACAGAGCTTGGTAAATATAGCAAGGATTCTGTAAATGATCCTTACCATTTCCTTCTCTTCTACTCAAGATACAGAAGTCAGTTTAAGGCCTTCTGCCCGGGATCTTTCTCCTGAAAGCATGATACCACAGAGATGGAGAAATCTCTAGATGTTTTTTCCTTGCCTCGCTGATCTTTTGGCTCTGGCTCCAACCTACAACTTGGAGCAGGCCTGTTGCCTAGATGTAGACAGAAAGAGCCATGTCCTAAGTTGTCGAATTCATAATCCATTCACTCTCCATCTTGTGCATGCCAGTTTAACCAATGAACCTTTACCGGCTTTTTCTGAGTCAGATACTTCTTTCTGGTTTCGGTTCCTTCTGTGCTTTGAGGAAATTGGATGACTTCACCTCAGTGGTGCCTATCTGCTGTTTTGAAAGAGTAAATTAATGCTGCTATACAAAAATCTCCTTGGCTTTCCAAACAATAATGGATATTTTTCTGGGATTGGTACCTTGAGGCAACCTTGTTCTCTTCATCTGAAGTTTGAGGGTTTTTACATGCTGCACCAGTGTAATAAGCCAACATTGTCTTCACCCAGGTCTGGGCTTCTCTGTTTTTTCCTCACAGTGACAGTGTCATGTTATAGAACCCCCCCAACCCCAGCTTTCTGGCAGAAGGAAGTCCAGATGAAATAGTGAGGAGCTGTGGGATTTTTTAGTTTACATTTTGATGCCCTCTGAAGAGAAGGGATGAATACGGTCCATTGTCTTAAGTAAGTGTAGTGAACGGAATGATCTGAGGTCTACTGCCTGTGACTTCTTCTCAGCATCTCATCATTCAGCAAATCTGGTCTCTCTGTCCCACTTTGCTGTCCTCCACCACAACCACCACCTTGCTAGTCTTAATGCACCTACCACTTGAGCAAGGCTAGCTTCCATCACCCTGGAACAAAAGACTCAAACCAGGAGAGAAATATGGGTGAGGGAGGATATTAGGCTCTGGACTGGGTGAAGGCCTTATAGGCAGAGTGTGACTGCAGATGGGGCTGTACCCCAGGTGGGCCTGGTGACTTGTTCAAAGACCTTTGCTACCCATAAGTATGAGTAGGTTGCAGCGATGGCTTAGAAAGCAGTGGTACCAACACTTTGGGCCATTCCATTTCTGATACTGCTTTTCTCCTCTTGCTGGGGGTGCGTTCTCAAGCAGCTGCAGTCTTTCTGTATGTCATTCAAATGGGTAGGAAGAGAATGCTCATTTCTCCAGCAAACTTCAGAATCATCTTCCTAGATGGTTACATTTTTCAACAGATTTGTTAAAGCAGACTGGCTGAGCCAAATAATGGGACAGTTTTCCCTGAATGGATTGTTTTTGTTTCTTCCCATCGCTCCTCCTCCTCTCTGCCCTCTTAACACATCCATTCAGTTGTAGCAGCGGAGGCCGGAGAGGCACATTTGTTTCTTCACATGGTCTTGGGGCTTGGCCAGGTTTCTTGCATTTTGCCCTCTTCTCCTGTTACCTCTCTCCTCTGCAACTTCTGGTGGGGCCTTTTAGCTGCACTATTTCTGTGGAGCTTTGATGAAGGCCTTTGGTTCAAATGTCCCAGCTGGAAACAGCTAGTTGGGGGAACTGGGCAAAGAACATATGAATTAGTGGGTGTGGCAGGAAGGTGTTAGAAGTTGTTTAACTGAAAGGGGAAGTAGGGCAGCTGACCCAGGATTGGGCACTGATTAGAATACAAGGCTGTCCAACCCTGTGAGACCCCCTCTATTGAAAATGGTGGTTTTGAGAGGGTCTTTCAACTTTAAACCTTGAGATCTCAGACTTCATGCCAGTGACAGAAGTAAAACATCTTGAGCTTCAGCCTCACCACCCCAGACTGACCTGTGGTTCTTTGTGTCTTCATTTCTTTCAGCTTTAACGTCTCCTAAACCGAACTTGATGGGTCTGCCCAGCACAACAGTTCCTTCCCCTGGCCTCCCCACATCTGGATTACCAAATAAACCGTCCTCAGCATCGCTGAGCTCCCCGACCCCAGCACAAGCCACTATGGCGCTGGCCCCTCAGCAGCTCCCCCAACCCCAGCAGCAGCCACAGGTGCAGCCGCCGCCGCCCGCAGCTCAGCCCCCGCCCGCGCCACAGCTCCCCCCGCAACAGCCGCAACAGCCACGCAAGGACAAAGACAGTGAGAAGGTAAAGGAGAAGGAAAAGGCACACAAAGGGAAAGGGGAGCCCCTCCCTGTCCCCAAGAAGGAGAAAGGCGAGGCCCCCCCAGCGGCCACAGCCACTCTCTCAGCCCCGCTGCCCGCCATGGAGTATGCAGTGGACCCTGCACAGCTACAGGCCCTGCAGGCGGCCTTGACTTCGGACCCCACAGCGTTGCTCACGAGCCAGTTCCTTCCTTACTTTGTACCAGGCTTCTCTCCGTACTATGCCCCCCAGATCCCTGGCGCCCTGCAGAGCGGGTACCTGCAGCCTATGTATGGCATGGAAGGCCTGTTCCCCTACAGCCCTGCGCTGTCGCAGGCCCTGATGGGGCTGTCCCCGGGCTCCCTACTGCAGCAGTACCAGCAATACCAGCAGAGTCTGCAGGAGGCGCTCCAGCAGCAGCAGCAGCGGCAACTGCAGCAGCAGCAGCAGCAGAAAGTGCAGCAGCAGCCCAAAGCAAGCCAAACCCCAGTCCCCCAGGGGGCTGCTTCCCCAGACAAAGACCCTGCCAAAGAATCCCCCAAACCAGAAGAGCAGAAAAACGCCCCCCGTGAGGTGTCCCCCCTCCTGCCGAAACCCCCCGAAGAGCCAGAAGCGGAAAGCAAACGTGCGGACTCCCTCTACGACCCGTTCATTGTTCCAAAGGTGCAGTACAAGTTGGTCTGCCGCAAGTGCCAGGCGGGCTTCGGCGACGAGGAGGCGGCGAGGAGCCACCTGAAGTCCCTCTGCTGCTTCGGCCAGTCTGTGGTGAACCTGCAAGAGATGGTGCTTCACGTCCCCACGGGCGGCGGCGGCGGCGGCGGCGGCGGGAGTGGCGGCGGCTCGTACCACTGCCTGGCGTGCGAGAGCGCGCTCTGTGGGGAGGAAGCTCTGAGTCAACATCTCGAGTCGGCCTTGCACAAACACAGAACAATCACGAGAGCAGCAAGAAACGCCAAAGAGCACCCTAGTTTATTACCTCACTCTGCCTGCTTCCCCGATCCTAGCACCGCATCTACCTCGCAGTCTGCCGCTCACTCAAACGACAGCCCCCCTCCCCCGTCGGCCGCCGCCCCCTCCTCGTCCTCCGCTTCCCCCCACGCCTCCAGGAAGTCTTGGCCGCAAGTGGTCTCCCGGGCTTCGGCCGCGAAGCCCCCTTCTTTTCCTCCTCTCTCCTCATCTTCAACGGTTACCTCAAGTTCATGCAGCACCTCAGGGGTTCAGCCCTCGATGCCAACAGACGACTATTCGGAGGAGTCTGACACGGATCTCAGCCAAAAGTCCGACGGACCGGCGAGCCCGGTGGAGGGTCCCAAAGACCCCAGCTGCCCCAAGGACAGTGGTCTGACCAGTGTAGGAACGGACACCTTCAGATTGTAAGCTTTGAAGATGAACAATACAAACAAATGAATTTAAATAAAAAGATTAATAAGAAACCGATTTCAAAAATAGACTAACTGCAATTCCAAAGCTTCTAACCAAAAAAAAAAAAAAAAAAAAAAAGGAAAAAAAAGAAAAAGCGTGGGTTGTTTTCCCATATACCTATCTATGCCGGTGATTTTACATTCTTGTCTTTTCTTTTAATATAAAAAAAAAAACCTTAACCCTGTTACATTGTGTCCTTTTGAAGGTACTATTGGTCTGGGAAACAAGTCCGCAGGGCCTCCCTAATGTCTTTGGAGCTTAAACCCCTTGTATATTTGCCCCTTTTCAATAAACACCCCACGTTGATAGCACAGGAGGAGCCCGGCATGCACTGTATGGGAAAGCAGTCCACCTTGTTACAGTTTTAAATTTCTTGCTATCTTAGCATTCAGATACCAATGGCTTGCTAAAAGAAAAAAAAGAAATGTAATGTCTTTTTATTCTCAGGTCAATCGCTCACACTTTGTTCTGTTTTCAGAATCATTGTTTTATAATATATTATTTTTTCAGTTTTTTTTTTTTTTTTTGTTCCAGAAAAGATTTTTTGTTTTGTTAATTTAAAAACGGGCAGAAAGTATTTGAGAAAAACAATGTGAACTGCTTTAGCTTTCTGGGGATTTAAAGAATAGCTTTTCTGCTGAAGCCAATTTCAAGGGGAAAAGTTAAGCACTCCCACTTTCAGAAAAAAAAAAAAAAAAAAACCCACACACAGAGTGTTGAGGACTTGTAGCTTAAAAAAATAAGTTTTAAAAACTGACTTTCTGTATTTATGATAGATATGACCATTTTTGGTGTTGAGTAGATTGTTGCATTGGAAATGAACTGAAGCAGTATGGTAGATTTAAAAGGAAAAAAAAAAAAAACCTTTTGTGTACATTTAGCTTTTTGTATGGTCCAGCTGACAGCTCCTCATTTGATGTTGTCTTGTTCATTCCTAGCAGATAGATTGCAATCCGTTGATTCGCCTAAGCTTTTCTCCCTTTGTCCCTTAATTCCACTTTCTCTTTCCTCCTCCCACCCTATAATCTCCCACTTAAGGTAGCTGCCTTCATTTCTTAGAGGGTAGCTGCAGAATTATTTTATAAAACTAAAGAAAGAATTTCAAAAGGTTCTAGGGGTCATTAGGATCCTCACAGATTATTTTTGGTTGGGGAGTTGAAACTTTTTAAAGGCATATAATTCTAGTTACCTATGTCTGTAAGCCTTGTGCCATTTATTTTTTATTTATCCTTCCTTTAGCTTTTCTTTTTATCCTTTCTTTTCCTCCTTGGTTGGTAGATGCTTCAAATATTCTTTTCCTAAACTAAAGCATTTGTTTTGGTTTGTGTAATTGAGCTGTGTGCTTTTCTTTCTAAAAAAGTTTTTGGTTAGGGGTTTTGTTTTTGTTTTCTTTCCTCTCAGAAAAAGAAATTTCATGCTTTAAATAAAATCCAAAGACACACCCTTTCACTGCTGATGCAGAAAAAAGGGAAAGGGTTCTTGTTACTTGAGAATTTGTTTCTGATTTAAACAAACAAGACTTAGTTTAATAAAAGAAAGAGTAAAACAAAAGATTCCCAGGTTGTTATGTGCTTCTTCTGCAAGCAGAGAGGCAACTGTTAATGACAATTCCATATACCAAAAGACACATTTTTTACTTCAAAGTTTTGTCCTTGTGTTAGGCAGTCTGAGCGGCGAGTGATCCAGAGTGCAGCCAACAAAGAAGCAGATAGCAAGGTACAGAGAGCAAAAAGGAACCGTATGTGAGGCACTTGTATTTATGTTAATATCTGTATTCCTGTAACACATAACGCAACATACACCCTTTCTCATCTTAAAACAATGGTCTGAACTTTGAAAGGAAAACTTTGTGCTGCTAAAATGTAGATTTTGGAGACAAATAGATGCTTTGCTTTTCACTTTCATAGCCAAACATCAACAGAAACAATCTCCCTGTGCCCCGAAAGTGTGAAATCCTTCTCCCCTTCGTTCTCTTCCTTATGTTTCAAAAGGGAACTTTGAAGACTGTGAATGCAGGTTCCATTGGTCATCTTTCGGGCTTCTTTCCCCAGTGCTGAAGCCACTCAACGACTTTGCAAAAGACTGGAGCATTCCAAGATCTGAAAATGGATTTCTTTTTTTCTTTTTTCTCTTTTTTAGCCGGGACTGTTTTATTTTTATGAATTTGTTTTTGGTTTAATGAAAGAGTAGATCCTGAACTGTTGTATATATTTCTAACTAGGCTGATGCACAGTGCAAATTCCTTTTTTTAATTTTTTTAAGTAGAAATACTAAAGAGTACCATCTAACTATTCATACCAGTATCCAGTTGTAGCATAAGGTGTCAAAAACAAGTACACAAAAACATTTGCTGTTTTAACAAACTATTTTCTTTTAACAAGAATTCTTGTATTTCTCCCTGTGTTTGAGATGAACATTTTTAAATTTTAAAGTTGTACAGTTTTTTGTTTTCCATTATTTTATCTTGTTTGTAACTCTATGAAATATATATATATTTTTTGCCATTTAACTGTTGTATGTTACTCTGTGTCTGTATCATATAGAAAAAAATTTGTTTTTGTTTTTGGTCCTCTATGTGATACCAATTAACAATTTAACACTAGCTTTACACGTCAAATTCTGCTAGGTTTTTTCTGAAAACTTTGTTTTTAAAAATGATATTGCTTGGTAATAGTGCAATTTCTATCCCTTTCCCTCCCCCCTCAACTTTAAGTTCATTTCCTTGTAATTTTGCCACCCCCTCCACAATGGTGTTTCGTTTGTTTGTTTATTTGTTTTGAGCTACTATGCCATCCTCCCTCTGTGAGGCAGCGTGACTGTCAGTGTTTTGTTATGCCATGCCTTGACCTGTGGGTGTATTTGGCAACAGCAAGGTGGTTGGGTAGATTGGCTAAGCATGCTTCCACCCACCAGTGTTTCTCAGAGGGGTTATGTGATTGTTTTATCCTGGAGTGGGTTGCACATTTGATGCTTTCCTCTACAACTCTACCACCCACATATATGTTCATTCAAAAAAGAAAAAAATTCTCAGCATTAACTCAGAAGTAGCAAAGCAGTCAGTGATGGTGACGATTAGACGTCAAATATGAGCTAGTTAGATGTTTGTGGGTTGACATCCGCTATGGCTGTGACTGGTATCATTTACAAAGCATGAATTCACTACAATGCTCAACTGTTTAGATTGGTCTCACTAGGCGAATTTAACTCCTGTTGCATAGTAGGTAGCTGAACAGGATATCTCAACTCACTTTTTAAATTAGTTCTTCACCTCTATTGACACTTCATATTTTGGTTGGTTGGTAGGTTTGTTTGATTTTTTTTCAAATACTCCAAAGAGTGGGTTGGTGCTTGACACCATTCAGTCATGGCACCATATGAACCCACTGAATGGAACTTATTTCAACCATCCTTCCTCCATCCTTCCAAAAAGAAACTTAAGAAGGAAACACACACACACACACACACACACGGAAAAGTTTAATAAATCTAGGAAGTTTTTTTTTTAATTAAAAGCTATTTAAAGAGATGAATGTGGCCAAAGTTTTACATGATTGAAAATAAAGTAAAACAGACGGCATGTGTTTAAACCTGAGTTTATCAGGCATGGCAGGAAGTTGCAGGAGAGAGAGGCAGTGACCCAAGCCAGTGCACTTGATGTTCATGGACATATATTTTTTTTAAATAAATTAAATTAAAACATTTTAAATAGAAGCATAAATTGAGTTGGTTGTTTGTTGGCGCTGAGATACTGCCCACTGTGAAACAAAGCTTTGACTAGTTTTTTTTGTTTGTTTACTTTCTTGGGGGGAGGGGGGCAAGTTTGGGTAGGAAAGAAAGCATAAATGAACGTGACCCTGAGGTGAAGAGGTATATGAACAGCCTTTGCAATGTACAAAAAAACAAAAAACAAAAAAACAAAAAAAAAATAGAGCAAGTGAAACCAAAAATGATGTTCTTGGTGTTTTTCTATAATGTAGTCTTGTTAGCTTTTTTTGTTACTGTAACAATGCTGATCTCGAACTGTACCAAAATACATGGAGACTAACAAACAGAACCACATGGAACTTTCAAACTGAAAAAAAAAATTTGTCACAAAAACTTTGTTGTCATAGTTAAGTTGATTGTAGATGGTAATTGAATATACTCCTTTGAAAATATTTCATCAAGTATGTTTCCTGCTCATTGTGATACATTAAAAAAATATGAGCAAAAGTTCTTGTCTTATGCCCTCAGATTTTGTGTGTGTGCATGTGTGAGAGAGAAAGAGATTGATACTGGCAAAGTGTAAATTTGAACAGTATCTTGAGGTTGCATGTACTTATTCCAAGGTACATAGCTCTTTAGTATTTCTAAGTGTCCTTGTATTTCCTATCTCCTGGCGTTCATGAAAGTGCAGCAAGTTTTGGCCGTGATGCTGACTAGCTTATTTCATTGAGAAGGGTAAGTCTGACAGCTCGGGTAATAGTTGACCCTCGAGAGCCTTAATAGTACCTGTATTTTTTTTTTTTCCCAAATGTTTCTATGAGAATTGTGGACACTTGGCACAACCATGAGCAAGTAAGTTTTGCTGATGGCTGGAAGAGAGGTAAGTCAAACTTTTCTGAGATGGGAATTAGATCCACTGTTTCTGACAGAAGGATATGAAAGGTAAGTTGAGTTAAGTGGGTGATCCACTACATTTACCTTTCCTATCAAAGGACTTTTCTAAACGCCTTTTAGAGCAGAATTTGAGATAAGAAGAGTCTGCAAAACAGTAATAGCGTTAGTCATTCCTACAAACAAGAGTCCTCTTATAAAAAACTCTCTTACAGCACAAAATGCCTGAAATTCATTAATAAGGAGTATATCCAAGATCAGGCCCAAAGGCCTTCCATTCATCTCTAATTTAGAGCCACAGCTGATAAATAATTTATAAAACCCTAGTAGCTGGGCTTGGACAGCATTGCGGGCTAGCTGTGTCCTTGCAAGGTCTGTGGCATCTGCCCTTGGCCAACAGGGGTCTTTTCTACCCCAGGAGTTAAGCTATGAAATCCTCCTCTCTCGGCTCTGACAGCCATTGTCAACCAAGTCTTTTTTCTTAGTTCCTGGAGCAGGCGTTCAAGAAGAGGCAGCGGCCCTATTAGCTACAAATGTCAAAGCGTTCTACAGCTGGCCCAGGCAGTGCTAGTGCTTAGAAAGGAAATGCTGGTTCCCTTGCCAATGCTAGGACCTCTGTGCCAAACAAGTAGTATCCCAATACTATCCCTAATAAAACCCTGATCTTTCCCCACGCATTGTACCTTTCTTTTGGGTGTTCCCATAGGAGCACATGGCTTCTATGTCAATATGTTTTCTTGGCACACAGCTATGTCACTGATCGTTCTTGTGACCCCATGAAAAGGTACAGGATGATAAAAATTGTTCAGACCCAAAGCCACGTCTGCCTTTCTAAGCTATAATTATTTTAGGATCTGGCAGGATCACTTTGAAACATTTTAAATGGAACTATTTTGCAGAGGGGTTTTGCTGCCTCAGCTCTTTCAAGGAAAGTGACTACAATTCAAATGCTTCTACAGATAAAATTTTAACAAGAAAATAAGACCTAACCTCAGTGATGGTTGAGCCCTTTGTATCAGAAAATCTCTAAGCACCTGAATTACATTGAAATAGGGTTGGGCAAGGGACTCTGTTACTAGAAAAGCTTTTTCTTAAGGAAAAAAGAAGGCTTCCAATCTGGCTTCAATATCATGCTCATGTGGATATTAATCTCCTTGGAATTAATAGTTTTTCCCCCCTGGAAAATGTGAAACGGCAACATCTTAAAACGGCTGATATGTGTTAGGTAGCTGTTTCTAATTTTGCCTTAAAGAAATGTCTGTAGTGCCTAGCTCCTGTTATAGACTAATGACCTTCCAAATCTCACTTTTAACAAGTTTAGACTTTAAGTTACAAGAGCACAAGCAGTTTAAGAGTCAAGTTGAAGGATGAGAAGTTTGCACCTGCCGCTCTGCTCTGCAGCCTTAATTACAGCAGGACACATGTGCTCACTCAGTCTCTGTACGTTACTGCTGGGGGTGGACCAGCCAAGGCTCTGGCAAAACTTGTAAAGAAATTAGTACTCTCAAGGCCATTAAAGTAGAGGCAGCTTTCCATTACTTTTTACTTCACAGCAAAGGTGGGTATTTCCTTCTTTCCATCCTTCCTTCTTCCCTCCCTTCCTCTTTCATCCTTTTTTAAATTAAAGGCACATGTTTTTAAAATGTCTTAGCCAATTAGTTTAGATTCCTCTCAGTCTATCTTCTTGAGTTTTTAAATTATAGGTGCAAAAATAAATTTGTTCTTGATCCTTTATGACTGCTTCATTTCTTATCCTATATGGAACAAAGAGACTATGTAATCCAATTTATGAATCCCTTAACATGGGAATAGGAACTTTCAGATGAACAGTTTTACTCTTGAGCCAAGATTCTTCAGGCTAAGAAATGAGGACAAAGAAGCAGCTGAGAGTAGCAGCTAAGGAAGGCATCAGTAAATATTCTCTGCCTCCGTGTAATGCCAAATACTTTTTTTTTTTTCCAGATATTATTTGACAGGGACACAGTGAGAGAGGGAACACAAGCAGGGGGAATGGGAGAGGGAGAAGCAGGCTTCCCACTGAGCAGGGAGCCCAGTGCGGGGCTCGATCCCAGGACCCTGGGATCATGACCTGAGCCGAAAGCAGACGCTTAACGACTGAGCCACCCAAGTGCCCCCAAATACTTCTTTTTGACCTTTGCTCTTCCTTGTCTTCCCATTCTCCATACACTACTCTTTCTTAAGCAGCCTTATATGTTGCTGCTGTCTTTTAGACCCCCTCTGTAATACCTTATATTTGCATAACACTTGAAAAGTACTTTTGTAAAATTATTTCTTGCTTGTTCCTTAAAATGATCTACAAGGTAAGCAAAGTGGGTGACATCCCAGGCATTCAGGAGAAGGAGGTAATGAGCGAGGGAAAAAGGCACTAACCATGTGTTTATCCTTTGTCCAGTGCCCCTTCTCCCCCCCCCCCACACCCCCCAACTTCCTGAGAGGTGCTAAGGAAGAGTGGTTGAGAGTGTGGGCTCAGGAATCAGACTAATGGTGTTCATTCTGGCTCCAGCACTGTGACCTTGATTGTGTTATTTATTCCCACTGTAAAATGAGGATAATGGTACCTGCTTCACAGGGTTGCTGCAAAGATTAAACAATATATGCGAAAATGTTTTGAACACTGCCTGGTACATACTGAGTAATAAATATCTGTTGCTAATATTTTTGTCAGTTTTAACTCTCCAAGTCTCTCTTATTGTAGGTCCCTTGGGACTGCAGCTAAGTCTTGCTTTAATTCACAGAGGGTTTGGGGGCTGCAATTGTATAAATCAGTCCCATCAAGCCTTTGTCTTATGTTTATATCTGATGCTTCCCTGTCCATACATATCTCAGAGGATCCAGAGGCCCCTCAGGGAGGTTCTGCTCAGAACTGTACAGAAATACAGTACAGGAGCTTGCATTTCAGTCTCTCGGTGCCCCATTTCTAGTGATTAATTTGGTCAGAAGAAAGAATGGCTTTAATTTGCTTTTGTTTGCAAAAGTAGACATAGTCCTTCTTTATCATCCCTTGAGAGGTGAGCAGCAGAAATGATTGGGGTTACAGAATAAAGAAAAAGGAGTAAGTTGGGACAATTTGCCCACTGCCACAGCCTGTTTTGAGGCGGTTCAGATACACAGCTTAGGAGCTGTAGCATCTAAAATGAGACTGAGAGTGAATGAACTGTATGTGAGACAAAACTGAAAGAAGAATACACACAAGGGAATGTAGCAAGAGGATCTTTCCACCCCCAAACACAGGAAGAGTTTTAAAAATACTATTATTCTAGTAACCTACAAAATAAACATCTGGGAGAGGCATGGGAACAAGTGGAAAAAAAAACTAGCACAGAGAAAAGGTTCGAATAGAATGTTTCCATGATAGCCTCTGCATATAAGAACTCATCAGTGATACAGGCTTTAGATAGCTATAGTTCCATCTGTGAACTTTATCCATTTTTAAAACAGTGATGGTACTGGAAATAGGAGTACAGACACTGGTATGAGAGGACTAGTAAAAGCTATGGAGGATGACGGGTGGGTGATTTTTCCTTTTCTCTGAGAATAATAACCTTTAAATGCAGTTTGACATACTACCTATAGATAGGATTTCATCATAGGGTGTCTGCATTCGATTTGTTACATGGTTCTAAGCTTGACAGTGAATAATATTCAAAATCTGATTTGTAATCAGCTGAATTGATTTGTTTTTTCAAAACTGTAAAGCCGTGCTGCACTGATGCCTCATATGAATTGTTTCCAACAAGAAATCTGCCGTCATCCTTATTTTTTAATAATTTTTTTCCTCTATCTACTTCTGAGATTCTCTTCTTTACCACTAGTTTTATCACATCATGTTTTGATTATGATGTACCTTGGTGTAGTTTTACTTCTGTTTTTTGGGGTTTACTTCTTATGCTTGGGGTTTGTTGAGCTTCTTGGATCTCTGGGGTATTACTTTTCATCAAAAATGGAAATTCTTCAGCCATTGTTTCTTCAACTATATTTTCCTTTCCCCCCTGCTTCCCACCGCCCCCCTTTTGCAGGGATTCCAATTATATATGTTCAGCCATTTGAGGTTAACCTATAGCTTGCTGATGCTCTGGTTTCACTGGAGGAGGGAGCTGGGGAGAGGGCAGGGGGTTACTTTTTTCTCTGTGGGCTTCATTTTCCATAGTTTCCAATGCTGTGCCTTCAAGTCCACTTATCTTTTCTTCTTATGTGCCATTAATCTGATCCAGTGTGTTTTTTCATCTCATACAATTTTCATCTCTAGAAGTTTGAGAGCTTTTTATATCTTCCATGTCTCTATGTAACTTTTGAACATGAAAATACAGTTATAATAATTGCCTTACTGTCATCCTCTTCTAATCCTAATATCTATGTAAGTTTTACATTGGTTCAATTGAGTGATTCTTCTTCTCCTCATTATGAGTTGTGTTTTCCTGCCTCTTTGCATGTCTGGCGATCTTTGATTAGATCCTAGTCATTGTGAATTTGCTTTGTTGAGTAGATATTTTTGTATTCCTATAAATTTCCAGTTTGTTATGTGATGTACTTATGTGATTTGAAAACAGTTTGATCCCTGTGGGTCTTATTTTTTAATTTTGTTGGGTAGGATGAAAACACTATTTAGTTGAGGGCTAATTATTCCCTACTACTGCAAAGGACCCTTCTGAGAACTCTACTCAAATGTCTCATGGAAAAAAAATGCCCCACGAACTTTACCAATCCGTGTGAACATCAGGTGCTGCTCCATCTTATCCTTTGGGCTAGTTCTTTCCCAGCCTTACAGAGTTTACTAACATGGAAGCACTGGTCAGCTCTTTTGTGAATACTTGTGGGAGACCCTGTAAAGATCTCCAGAGGTCTCTCTTTTCTGGTACTGTGTCCTGCAAATTCTTGCTGCCTTGTTTTCCCCAGACTCAGCTTTATCTCCTAAGTCAGAGTCTGCTGGGTTCCACCTAGGTTCCATACCCTGTGCTGTGGCCTGGAAACAGTCTCAACACAATAAGATGGAATAATCATAGGGCTTACCTTGTTTGTTTCTCATCTCTCAGCAATCACTGTCCTTTACTGTGTAATGTTCAATGACTCAAGAACCATTCTTTCATGTATTTTGTCTTGTCTTTTTAGTTGTTTCAGCTGGGAAGGTTAAGTCTGGTCTCTGTTACTCCATCTCAGCTGGAAGCAAAAGTCGAATTTAGTTTTTAGATATATGCAAGTAAGGTCCTGTATTCCTTTTTACAGTGCTATCTATGCTTATGAAATTTCCCAAAAGGTTTGAATTAACACAGGAGTCTTATTTCCCCAGCAGACTTCTCTGAACATGACATGGTAACTCTTAGGATAAAGATTCTAACTAATTCATCCTTTTCCTTAATCACAATAATCAGAGGTGGAAGAAGGGTAGGTAAATGCACAAATTCTAGCCACTTTTTGCCATACCATAATGCCAGGTAGAATGGGAAAACCATTTCTTAGGTTTCAAAGTCACACCATGGCAGTAGATGTATTTCTGATGGTAAAACACTATATTAGGTCTTCCCACTTAACTATAAGGGCTATCACTATTCATAAAGTTAATAAGTCTTAAAAACAAAATGAAACAAAACACTTCCATTTCATGGTCTTGCTTCACTCAGATCATTTTTCAGGACACCTAAGTGTGGCTCAAGGAGATCCGTTAATTTGGAAATGTGGCTCACACTTGGAGATGAACTCATTGCACTAATACAAAGGAATAATAAAAATCAGGCCCCAGCACTGAACTAGTTATTCTTCCTAAACTCAAATCATAGTTTGTTTTTTTTGTATGTTTATTATTTTGGCAAACATCTGTTTCTAATTAAATTGGGTATATAATACATCCATAATACATAAAATTCTTAAGGTGTTAACTCATTACTTGCTTTGCAAACTCTCAAAATTTGTTCCAGGGTAGCTTTCCCACTAAAATTATTTGTAAATAATCTACTCCACTAAAACTAGCCTACCTTCCAAACACACCCTGTACTTTCCCCTCTACATTTAAAGGTTTAGCAATGTCACTTATTCCATGACATCTTATCACATCTTCCCAGACCCTTTTCTGACCCCTATGGTAATACACATAATGTCTTTTTGGCAATGATACATGTATATGTTTTATGCTTAGATCACTTGCTATCCTACGTTTATATTTAATGTTTGAATGACTAAATTAAA